AAGAAGAAACAGAAAGGTTATGAGCCCAGGCCACAGACCTTTCTTTTTGACTCTAAACACAGTGCTCATTCTACCCGTCATTCCATGGCCCTTGTGGGTTAAAAAAAAAAAACATGAAAAAGTCGGAAAAATCAGAGCTAGAGCTAGAGAAAGACCATGCGAAATTTCTCAGACATAGGAGGGATGGTGTAACCCAGGGAGCAGGTATCCCCCTTGGATCTATAACCACCATTTGAGTTCAAACCCTCCTTTCTAAATCATGGGTTTGAGGAAAAAGCAGTGGGAGAAGCATCTCTTTCATGATCAGAGGAACTGATTACCCAACTCCCAGTTTACCTTTAATTTTTTTTAAGATTTATTTATTTACGCATACAAGAGCTGGGGTACAGGTCAGAGGTGTGGGGCGGGGAGAAGATTCACTGGAGACAGAGTGGGGAACAGAACAGGCAGACTGACTGAAATACACTGCTGAGGGGAGCGAGTAAGGAGATGTCTGCTGTGCCATGTGGGTTGCTCCCTGGCCAGGTGGCTGGGGATCGAACTCATGATGCAGAGGATGCAGACAGCCTCATAGGCTGTGTCTTAACCCCTTGTGCCACTAGGGAGGCCCCAGTTTACTTTTAAAGAATAAAAGCTCCCCATGTAAGGAGATGAACAGTGGGGTTCCTGGGGACTTCCCAACCCTACTGCCATAGCAACCAGACTCATTAGCAGTTTCTGATAGGGAGCTAAGTAGGCCCACAGCTTGGAACAGAAGTGGATGAGGGAGTAGGGAGGAGACTTTGCCCTCACACTGGACAGTCCACACCCCAGTGTCAGGTGAGATCAGAGTTTCAAGTCATCCCAGGGAAATGAGGAAGGGCACACACATACCCCTCTCATTTTGGACCTCCCTCCTGAACCTGGTGCAGATGTTTAAATTTGCCAACTTTTGTCCATGCTTGAAACCTCTGAGGGAGAACTGTGTCAGGATTCACCCAACATACAGGTCACACACACCGCTAGCTATAGGGGGCATTTTCTTTTTTCTATTTCCTTTTTTTTTCTTTGAATGACACATACCTTGCATAAGTTAAAATGCACATCTTAAATTTCAACTATTGATAGATGAATTTTTACACATGGTCACTACCAAATCAAGAGAAAACATGTCCACCCTGCCAGAAAGTTCCCTCACATCCTTTCTTAGAATTCAATATCACACAATGACTTTGTCAACATAGGTTCATTTTGCTTGTTCTTGAACTTCATAAATATGGAACCAAACAGCATGTATTTGGGAATCATGACTGCCACTGAAAGTATAGTCATGTCACTTCGTAACATGTTAGTCAAATATATAATAGTGGTCCCAAGAGAAAATACCATAGAGCCTAGGTTTGTGTTATCATGCTCTCTGATATTCACACAATAATGAAATTGTTACCAAGTAATGGGCTCACTACTCCATGTGCACAGAGGCCAATACAGTGACAGGTTTTGAGCAAAGAAAGAAGCTTTACTGAAAATTGATTGTCAAGGAGGGAGGAATTAAACTCAAATCTCCAGTCCTAGATAAGAAAGATAATAAGTTATGCAGGTTTTGAAGACCAGGGTTGAGAACTAAGAACTTAAATTTTATTGGCTGAAGAGTGGGATATGAACAAAAAAACAAAACAAAACATGGACTTGGCTGAAGTTCATTGGTTCGTTACAGAGCAGTTCATACACGAAGTAGATAGTGGCTCCCCCCCACGCCCCCACCCCCCCTTACAACCCCCTATAAAAGTGGAGTTTTGAGGGCCTCCCCTGGTGGTGCAGCGGTTGAGCGCTGGGCTGTGAGGCTTCCCGTAGCCTCCGCAGCACCGGTTCGTTCCCTGGCCACCGGTGAGGGTCCCACAAAAAAAAAAAAAGGTGGAGTTTTGAATTTCTATTGGTGGGCCCCTCATTTCTGGGTAGTCCCCCTTCTCTGTTTGCAGTTTCTTGGCTGCAGTTGGACTTGGGACTCAGCTCAAGGTTAGTCACTTCTGCATGCTCAGGCTATGTCACATGTAGATAAACTGTGTCTGTGAATACAAACGCTTTCAAAAAGAAAGTTAGATCCATTTTTTTTTCTTTTGTGCTCTAGGGTCTTAGAGCAATTTAACAATTTCACCTGTTTTAAAGTCACCTAACCATGCATTTCTCAAAATGTCTCCCTGTCATTAAATGATGTGCATGTATATTACTAAACTGTTCCTTTTCTTTGTTGTATAATATTCCATTGTAAGAAGGTACCACGATTTCTTATTCTACTGTTGATAGATACTTAAGTAGTTCACAGTGATTTGTTGTTGTGAATAAAGCTTCTAAGGACATTCTTGTATGTGTCTTTTGGTGATTATAAGTTCACCTATCTTTGTGTAAATATCCAAGAGAGTGGGATTGCAAGGTCTTAGGGCAGATGTATATGTAATTTATGACATACTATGAAATAGTTTTCCAAAATGGCAATCCCATTTTACATTACCACCAGCAGCATATGAAAGTTTCAGTCACTCCACATTGTTAGTATCACTGGAATCACTCATCTTAGCCATTCTGGTGGGTGTTATTTGCATTTCCCTGATTACTGATGATGTTGATAAGCTTTTCATGTGCTTATTGGCCACTTTGACATTCTCTTTTGTTAACTGTCCAAGTTTTCTATAACTTTATTGGTTGTCTGTCTTGTTTTTGATTTGTAAGCTCTCTTTACATATTTTAACTGTGTCCTTCATCAAATATGCCTACTGTAATTAGCTTATTCCTGGGGGAATTTTTCCTACTCCAAATTATCCCTCCAGGTTCTGGACTGGGAATGACCACAAAAACAAAAAGGCACAGATTAATCTTTTCTGGTTCCATTTTTGAGAAGATGGCAGGTGCCCTGGTTTATTGGATACCTATGACATGCCAAGGACTTTATATCAGTAATATTTCTAAACAGTCACATTTGTATTTATTTAATTCATTTATTCAACACATATTTGAAAATCTAATAGATTCCAGGTATTGTAGGACACACTGAGAACAAAAGTGAAGATCTGAAAAATAGACTGCTCCAAGGGGTAGTGGTCAGGCAGACTATAAACTTGCAAACAAATTAACAAGGCAGTATCAGAGGGAGGGAAATTCTAAAAAGGTGATTAGAGAGTCACCAGGGGTGGTCAAAGGATCAGGTAGAAGAGGTGACATGAAACTGGGGTTTGAAGAAGGAGGTGGAGCCAACCACCTGTGAGATGTAGGAGAAACGGTGTACCCGTGTACCGGGAAGGAAGAAGAGTTACTGCAAAGACTCAGAGCAGTTGGAGTGGAGTTAAGTACAGTCATGTGTCACTGAATAATGGGGAATATATTCTCAGAAAAATGTCATAGATGACACAACCTACTACACACTTAGGTTATATGGAACCACTGTCCTACATGCAGTCCAGTCTGCTGTTGAATACAGAACAGTGAGGACGAGAGGGATCCAGAGGCTGAGGGAGGAATTCAGACTGAATCTAAGCACCATGGGATGGATTGCAGTGTTCTAAACAGAAAAACATCATGGATTTGCTTTCTTTTCAAAGGGCCCTCACAGACATTTTAAGGACCCATGGGAGTGATGACAGAAGTAACCACAATTATCCAGATCATGGAGGTAGAGTGCAGGTCTTTGTCCAGGGCAGGACCACAGAAGTAGGAAGAAGTGGGTGAATTCAGGTTCTATTTACAGTTAATTATCACCCTCAATTTAGTGGGAACTGAAGTTCAGGTTAAGTGACTTGCACAAGGTCACACAACTAGAAAATGGAGAAAGGGCAAGAAAATCCACACAGAAATGTCATGTTGTGATGTGAGAGGATACAGAACCCTGGGGATACAGAGCGGTGATGGGGGCCTCAGACCTAGAAAATCCATCAGTCCTTACGGTGAAAAGTTATAAATTGGACTGAGACTCAACGTATGACGTTGGAGGGGTGCGTCTGAGGCTTCGCAAACTCGCCTGAACCCTGAACACCCAGAATGGCCCATTCAGAGAGACGACCTGGCCCACTGGCCTTCTGAGAACCCTGTCTGGGGCTGCTGCTGCCGGCCCCATTAGCGCCATCGTCATCACCCCAGATTCGTGCGTGTATAACTTCCCTCCAGCCCCCACCCTCACCTAATCGCTCCGGCATCTCCCGGGGCTGCAAAGCCGACTCCCCCGGAAGCCGCCGCAGAGCCGCCCGCCACCAGGCCATTAGCACGCAAGGAAGGGGTTCGGGGGGAGGGAGTAGTCAGCAGGGACATAAAGGGGGGAGGGAGTCGTGGAAAGGACTTGGGAGGCGGGAGCTGGAAAAGATGGGAGGTGGCAAGATGGAAAAGAAGGGAAGGAAACGGGGTCGGGAGGAAAGGAGGAGCCACTGTGGGTGGGGAAGGGGGGGGACACGTGCCCTGGGGGCGTGGCCGCGGGGAGTGGCCCCCGGGGGCCGCCGGGGTCCCCTTCGCCCTTTCTGGCCAAGGTCTGGGCGGACGAGGGGAGGGACTTTGCAGGGCACCTTCAGCCCAGGAGAGCCTGGCGACTCCCGGACGCTGGGACGCGGGAGACTAGGCGTTACCGCGAAGTCACGCGCCCGAGCCTCTTCTGGGCACCTGCGCCCGGGCCTCTGCTGGGGAGCCCATCTGCGGGGGCTGCCCCTGCGGGCCGCCGGCGCCCCAGTTCCGGCACTGCAGGGTTGGGGCGCCGGCTGCGTACTCCCGGCCTGGAGCAATAATTACCTCCCATCCCCGGCACGTCCCCTCCTCCCCAGATCCCGCCCCGCCCTCGCGCCCCAGGGAAGAGTCGGGTGGGGGCGCGAGAGGCCCCTCTGTTTGGAAGGAAATCAAAGCCAAGTGTCCGAGCGATTTCCAGGCCGTGGGAGGGGTGCTTCATAAGATACGTTGTTCCCTCCGCGCTCGCGGCTCCCCCCAGCATCCCGCAAGATGGCGGCGGCCCCAGCGGAGGGCGCGGAGCCCGGGCGGCGGCGGGGAGCGCGGCGCCCCCCTCCTGCCGGGGAGGTGGGAAGAGGGGCCAGGATGGAGGAAGGCTGGAGGTAGGGGCGGGAGGGAAGAGGGGGCTGGGAGAGGCTGGGGGAGGGAGTCTGAAGGAGGAAGGCGGCGGGCGGGCGGAGGGGAGGAGAGGGGAGCGGGGAGAGGGGGAGCCGGGAAGAGAGCGGGCGGAGGGAGCCCGAGGCGGTGGCGCCCAGGGAGCCTGGAGGGTGGGCCAGGTGGGGGGCGGGGCGGGGGGGCAGTGGCGTGGGGGGAAGCCCGCTGGGGTGGGATGAAGGAAGGAAGAAGAAAGAAAGGGGAGCACAGGTGAGAGCAGCCTGGGTCAGGGGGAAGGGAGCACACCCCGTCGAGCTGTCCCCGGGGTCCAGGCCGGCGCTCTTCAGGTTCCTGTGCTCAGTGTCAAACTGGGGAAGCCAGACCTCCTCTACCCTTCTACCTCGGGGCTCATCTGGCCTCCCCCTTGCCTGACTGGTCTCTGACACGCCCAGCTTTGGCCCATTGCCCTGTTCTGGGGCTGGTACAGAGCAAGATCCCCACTGTCTCCCGGCCTCCAAGGTAGACTTCCTGTAGAGAGCATTGTTTGGGTGCCTCTGCATGGGCCCTACTTTCTGGAGAGGCCTGAGAGTTTCCAGAGAGGCGAAATTGAGGCAGAGGAGAGCCAAACACACAATATGGGTCTCCCTGCCCCAAGTGTCCCACCTTTGGCGCCAATCCTCCCCCCCAACCCAACCCTCCCTCCCCTTGGGTACTCCTTCCTTCTCCCCAGGCTACCCCATGAGCGTTTCAAGTCTCCCCCATCCCAACCTTCCTGCTTCACCATGGGGGAGCTCCCAAACGCCTGAAAATATCTTTAAATTAGGAAAAAGAGCTCAGCCGCCAGGGTCCTTTGGTCCTATTAAAGGAGGAGCAGAGGCCACCAGCTTCCCTCCCCACCTCCCCTCTACTCTGATTTTGCATTTGAAGCCCTAACAACCGACCCTGCTAGAACAATGGTGGGGCTTGCCCAGCCGGCCCCAGCTGCTTCCCTTTCAGTTGCCCTGGGCTCCCTGCCAGGTGTGCCAAAATTAGGATGGCTCCCTTCCCTGGGTCCTTTTCATCCCCCCAGGGCTGCTGGGACTCAGAGAAGATAACGAAGCTGATTGCCGCCTACCCTTTAGGCTGGGGTAACCCAGGCTCGAACTTGCCTGAAAATCTGTCATCAAATGACTGCCCCAGGAAAGTATTCATGTGCCAGGCTCAGTGAAGGTTTTTATGCAGCACCCTCCCTGTACAGGTAACACCCCAACTCCTCCAGGCAGCCCTCCTGGCCTGCTGGCATTTGCACCCTACTGTTTGCCATAGACTTGGGCAATAGAATGAGGCTACTGGGTTCAAATCCAAGTCACACCTCTTTCTGTCCCCCTATCCCCACAGCTCAGATAACCACTGAGACCCTCACTTTCCCAAGCTGTCAAATGAGCATGATTATGAAAACTTCTATCTTGAGACTTTCATAATGTCAAAAAGAGGTCATATATGCAAAGTGGGTATGAAACAGTTCGCAATTCTGTAGCCCCAACCACCTAGCCCCTCACTGAACCCCAAACACACTCGGGTATGCGCCCACCACCAGGCTTCCCACTGGCTGTTCCTCCCAGATCTCCCCTCAGCATCCTTCTCCCTTTATTCACATCTCTGCTCATAGGTCACCTCAGAAGGGAGGTCCCTGGCCACTTAGCCATCACTCCAGAACCCATATTGTTTATCATCACCTGACGTTACTTAGCTGAGCTGAGGCTCTGGAATAAGGTTCAAATCCTGACTTCACAATTACTGGCTGTGTGACCTTGGACTGAGCCTCAGCTCCCTCCTTTATAAAATTTAAAATGGGGATAGCTGCTGGGATGAATAAGTGACTTAATGAATAGAAAAACCTCAGATCAGTGCCCGCCCTACACTAGGTTATTCCCAGAACTAATACTGCTTGTATTATTTCTGGGTAGCCCGTCTGCCTCCCTCCTGCCTACTGCTATGTCCTCAGTGTCCCAATAGCCTGGCACATATTAGATGCTTACTAAATGTTTGATGAATTAGATTTTACTAGAGCTCTGTGAGCCTCAGTTTTCTTATTTGTATAATAGGATGATAATAATTGTGCCTCACAGATGCTGACCCATGGGATAAATGCTGCTGTTCTGTTTTTAGAAATACTGTTGACTTTGAACAACACATATTTGAACCACAGAGGCTGGTCCATGTATATGGAGATTTTTTTCAGCATGGGTTCCAGTTTGGGCTGGTTGAACCCATGATTGCAGAACCTTCCAATATAATTGGCTGACTATACAGGACTTAACATCTACAGATTTTTGGCATGGTGGGTGGGAGTTACTGAAATTGTCACACACACTCAACCCCCCATACCAAAAGGCAACTGTAGTTAAAGTTTTAGGACAATCAAAATTTATACATGAATTTTCACCTGCTGGATGTCAGCGTGTTACAGGGCAACCCTAATGTGAAATGGGTTGGCCTGACTATGGGCCCTCACCGCACCCTTAAAAGGGACTTATAATGAAACTCAACAGCAGGCACACACAAAAAGGGGTAATAAAGGGTTTATTTACAAAAAGGGGAAATGAAGAAATGAATAACAGGGAGAAAGAGAGAGATAAATTGGTGAATGTGTCCTACTGTTACAGGGCAGGGAGAGGGACACCCCAGAACCCCCAAACCTGCCCACTCTAAATAGGTTCTGCCATCTGCTGCATCAAGGCAAAATATATAAGACCTTTAATGAAAAGGAACTTTAATACAATTAGTAAACAATACAAAAAAGACAAAGAATACAGTTTCTAAATCAAGCATCCTAAGTTACCTATCCCTTCATGGGTAAAAGTCCACCCAAATGGGATTGGCCCAGAGTAAGGCCTGATACAAGTCTAAAGCACCTTCCCATGGTGACCCATAGAAAGTGGTCAGAAGCAGCCAGACAATTCTGGGAGGAAAAGAGCAAAAGCAAAGTCAAGATAAAAGCTGCCATTGTCAACCTCCCCACAGGTCTCTCACCCACATCTGTTTCAACCAGTCCAGGACCAAGAAGCAAGCGCTGTTTCTTCACGTGTCTCCCTGCTCCACATGCCTCCACCAGGTCTCCTTCTTGCTCTCCAGCCTGCTTCCTTCCTTCTCATTTCCTTTCCAGCTTCTTCTCCTCCTTGCTCAGCTCCATCCCCCCTTTGGGTAGTGCAGGGAACCTGGAACCTCCCCTATTCCTGGGTACCACCCTGTTACACTACCAGTTCTGCAGAGCTGGAACCCCAACAACACCATTGAAGGCCAGCGAAAAAAACAAGGACCCCCAAGGCCCCAAGTGTCTGGTATTATACCAAACCTGGCTGCTTAACTCCACCCTTAGTTCCCAACAGCCCTCCCCTCTGTGGTGATGACATTATGGGATTTGTAGTCCTTTGTGTCTTGGATATCTTTGGTCTGGGGTGGGGGTGTGGTCCATAAAACCTATCTGTGGAGTTTGTTCAGGACATCCTTTCCTCCCCAACAAGTGCCCCTAACACCAGTATTACTTAAGGGTCAACTATAATACACATTGGGCCTGTAGACGATGCTTAGTACATAGAAGTTACTTAATATATTTGACCTACATCTGGAGTCAGAGAATGTGGGAGAACTCGTTCTCTTTCCCTACTTATAGAGAGTTTGCTAGTTGAGCGTCAGGGTGCCTTGCTTTATACTTTCTTCCCAGCCTGTCTTGCTTCTAGAGGAGCTGCGTGATACTCTTCAGGCCAGTGAGACCCAAGTAGAGATTGGCTGGGGTATTCAGAGCAAGGTGGACCTGTTATTATCTGAACCTCAGTTTCTCCATCTTTAAAATGGGGTTAAAAACAGCAACCCACTGTGGTGAGGATCATATAAGTGACCCAGAGGGATTTATAGGTGGCCAGGGGACCTGGATAGTGCTGGCCCTGATGCCATTGAACTGCTGGTCTCCAACAGCACTAGGCTCTAAACTCTAAATCAATTGGTGAGGAAAAAGCAGCCTTTTTGTTCTTTTTGTTTACTGTAATGTGGATGTTGATACTTGCAGCTCAAGTTATTTCCAGATGATATTAAATTCTTCATGTCCCTAAATATGCTCAGGAAAGAGTACCTGTTTACTGATTTATTTTTGTTTTTACTATTTTTTTTATTTATGGTTAATAGACTATAGATGCAGCTGGGAGACCACAACATAAAAAAAATGGTAGAGTGGATGCATTTAACTAGGCCTCTGTGCAGTTCAGGAAGAGGGAATGAGAGACGGCCTATAAGAGGGAGGGTATAACTGTGTTCTCCCCAAAAGCTGTGTTGAAGTCCTAACCCCCAAAATCTCAAAACATGACCTTATTTGGAAATAGTGATGTTGTAGCTGTAGTTAATTAAAATAGGTCCTGTTGGAATAGGCAGAGATTTAATCCAATATGACTGGGTTACAGATTTAGTCTAAGAAAAGAGACACAGATGCATGCTGAAGAGAAAAGGCCATGTGACGATGGAGGGAAAGATCAGAGGACGCGTCTATTAGCCAAGGACACGAAAGACTGTTGAAGGCCAGCAGAAGCTGGAAGAGGCAAGGAAGGACCCTAGGGACTTCACAGGGAGCTGTGTGGCCACCTTAATACAGCCCTCCTCCAGAATGTAAGCCAATACATTTTAAGCTACCTTCCACTTCAACCCCCACCACTGGGTTGTGGTGCTTTTATTTTTTTAAGATTTATTTTATTTATTTATGCATATAAGAGCTGGGGTATAGGCCAGAGGGATGGGGGGTGGGGAGTGAGAGGATTCACCAGTGACAAAGTGGGGAGCAAAACAGGCAGACCTTCTGAAATACACTGCTGAGGTGAGCAGTGGGCAAGACAGAGAGGTCTGCTGCGCGATATGGGTTAACTCCCTGGCTGGGGATTGAACTAGTGCTGAAGTGGCAGCAGATAGCTTCACAGTGCTGAGACTTAACCCCTTGCACCACCAGAGAGGCTGTGAGTTGTGGTACTTTTTACAACAGCCCTAAGGAATACAGGTATGTGTTAAGAAGCAGCAAGACACATTGCAAATTGCTCACTCTGGTTTTGGGGTACACAATCTGCAGTAAATCATTTGCTTCAGGTTATGTTAGCATCCTCTCTAGACCCTGATCACACAAATGGATAGGGAGGGCCCTCTGTCAATGGACACAGAACCACCCCACCTTCCTGGAGCAATTCCCACCTTCCAGAATCTCCCCAAGTTGGGTTAACACAGCTCAGCTGGCTTCAACTACAGGTTTAGGTTCCTGCCAATATTACCGTGGATTTAACATTAAGGATATCCTGTTTCCCCCAGCTTGGTTGGGACATCCCTGAAGTAAGGGAATAACACTTTTGTACTTTCAGGACAAAGCCCAGATGTTAGGTTTGTTGGCACTCAGAAAAGTTCATCCCATTGAAAGCAAGAGAATTAACACATGGGACACATGAACTGAACTTCTGTGCTGGGGTCTTCATTGAGTTCATGGAGATTCCTCCAGGAACCTGAAAGTCAGAGCTAGTGGTCCAAGAATCCTCCCCTTAGAGGATACCCTTCCTTAATGTAGGTGCCAGAAGGGAAAGGGGATGACCTCACAGTTAAGAAGAACCAGTTGTCTAAGAACTTTTCTTTAATGAAAGTAAGATAGGAGGGCTTGACGTGACCTAATGGCAGTGCAAATGGAGAAAAGTATATGGATTCAGGATAGATTTTGGAGTTGGAACTGGCAAGGTTTGCTATGGATTGAATATGAAAGAAGAGGGGTTTTGGAGGATGGATGGCTTACCAATCACTGTTTGTGTGCCTTCCTCCTACGCCACTCAACATTTCCAGTTATTTAATAACATATAACAAATTACCACAAATTTAGTGGCTTAAAATAAAACACATTGTTCAGAATCTCTGTGTGGCAAGAATTCAGGCATGGCTTAGCTGGGTGCCTCTGGCTCAGGGTGTATCACAGCTGCCACTAAGATGGTGGCTGGGTATTATGGAAAACAATAATATGCATATTTGTATGCAAAAATAAATATTTTTAAAAAATACTAATTCGGGGTCTCTCCTGGTGGCACAGCGGTTGAGCACTGGGCTATGAAGCTGTCCGCAGCTTCTGCAGTGCCAGTTCGATCCCCTGCTGCCGGCGAGGGTCCCACATGGCGTGACAGACCTCTCCTGCCACGTCCACTGCTCCCCTCAACAGTGTATTTCATCAGTCTGCCTGTTCTGTTCCCCGCTCTGGCTCTGGTGAATTCTCTTACCCTACCGTGCTTCTGACTGTACCCAGTGCTTGTATAAATAAATAAATAAATAAATCTTTAAAAAAAAATACTAGTTCATGTACCCTCCCCTCATTTACTGCAGCACTATTCACAATAGCCAAGAGTTGAAACCAACCTAAGTGCCCATCGATGGGTGATTGGATAAAGAAGATATGGTGTATATACACAGTGGAATACTACTGGGCTATTTTTAAAAAGATGAAATCCTTCCGTTTGCAATGACATGGATGGACCTAGAGGGTATTATGCTAAGTGAAATAAATTAGATGGATAAAGACAAATACCATATCGCTTCACTCACATGTGAAAAAGAAACAAATGAATAAACAAAAGCAAACTCTTAGACTACAAGAACAAAATAGTGGTTACCAGAAGGGAAGGGGAAAGGGAGGTGAATAAAAGGAGTCATTTGTATGGTGATGGATAGAAACTAGAGCATCATGTTGGTGATAAGCGTAATGCAGGATATATGGATATTGATATATAAGTCTGTATATCAGACTTACATACCTGACATCTATATAACGGTATAAACCAATAATATTCAGTTAAAAAAAAAATAGATGGTGGCTGGGACCACGGTCTCATCCAAAGACTCAATTTCAGATCCATTTCCAGGCTCACTAGCTGTTGGCAGGATTCAGTCCCTCACTTAATGTTGATAATAGGCCTTCTCCAGTTCTTTTACCAACAGAAGTTTACAATGTAGCAGTGGTTCTGCTCAGGGAGTGAAAATGAGAGTGAGAGAGAGCACCCAAGATGCAAGCCATAGTCCTTGTGTAACCTAATCTCAGAAGTGACACCCCATCACCTTTGCCATATTCTGTTAGAGCAAGTCATGGAGTCCCATCCATACCCCAAGGGAAAGGGGTCACGCAAGAATGGGCATCATTGGCGGCTTTTTAGGGACTGCCAACTCACCACGCACATGGATCCAATCATGTCATATCTTTGCCTGCTGACTCTGGCTAGAGGCAGCTCAGTTCTGCTGTGGCCAGCCAGAAGTTCCAGAGAATCCATTTCCCCTATAATCATACCTCAACCAATGAAAAACAGGGGTTGGAGGATAAATGCCCCAGCTCCCTCACCCTTCACATAAGTGACTCTGAGATACATGTCTCAGGGGAATTAAGCCCTACCTAGATATTCCAGTATGACGGGCTCATGAACACACTCTTTACTGGGTTGAGGGGTATTGCACCCACAACACCAAGAGAAAACAAAGCCATATCATTAACAGAGATGGGGGAGACCCGGGAAGTGCAGATCTGGGGCAAGTGGAGGGTTTTGTTTCAGACATGATACTTGGGCATGCCCACCTGGTATCCAACAGCTGAAGGTCAGAAGAGAGGCCCAAACTGAAGATGTCATTGTCAGGTGTAAATGGCATTTAAATGCCAGTCTTGAGACTGGTTGATGTGACCAGGGAGGTAAGTGTAGACACAGGAGGGACGAGGGAAAGACCTTCATTAAGATCAGGAGATGAGGAAGAACCAGCAAATGAGACTGAAAACAGGCTACTGGAGTGGAGTGACAACTCTTGGGATAATTTTGCTGGGATAGGCAATGTTTTTGTTCCTGATGCTACTGTAACAAGTAAACACAAACTGGGTGGATTTAAAACAAGACAGGGCCTCCCTGGTGGCGCAGGGGGTTGAGCAATAGCGCTGTGGAGCTGTCTGCAGCCTCTGCAGCACGGTTCAATCCCAGGCCGGCCAGGGAGACATCCATATGCACAGCAGACCTCTCCTGTCTTGCCCGCTGCTCCCCTCAGCAGTGTCTTTGGTCTGTATGCCTGTTCTCCCCGCTCTGCCTCTGGTGAATTCTCTCACCCTCTCGCACCTGTGGCCTGTACTCCAGTTCTTGTATGCATAAATAAATAAATCTTTAAAAAACAACAACAAGACAAAGTAAAACAAAACACAGAGAAGTGTTTTTTTCATAGTCACGGAAACCAGAAGTCCAAATCAGTATCACTGGGTTGAAATCAAGGTGACCCTCTGAGGACTTCAGGGGAGGATTCTTCCTTTGCCGCTTCCAGTTTCCGGGGTTTCCAAACATTCTTTGGCTTGTGGTTGCATCACTCCAATCTCTGCCTCTGTCTTCATGTAGCTCCTTTCTCCTGTGTCTGTATGTTGTTCCTTTTCTTTTCTCTCCATTGGGAAATTGTCATGGGATTTAGAACTCATCCTAATCCAAGGTGATCTCGTTTCAAAATTTTTAATTTATTTACACCTGCAATTACCCTTTTTCCAAATAAGGTCTCAGATTCTGGATGTTAGGATGTGGACATATCTTATTGGGGGGAGCCACCATTCAACCCAACACAGGTAGGAAGAAACAGAGTTGGAGATAGGGAGGGATGGGGGAATGGGGGTGAGCTTGTCATGCCAAGTGAGCCACCTCAATCCCCCCCCACTGTTTATTTTTTTAAAGATTTCTTTATTCATGCATACAAGAACAGGGTACAGGCCAGATGTAAGGGAGGGTGAGAGGATTCACCACAGACAGAGCAGGAAACAGAATAGGCAGACTAACTGAAATACACTGCAGAGGGGAGCAGCATATGAGACAGGAGAGGTCTGCGGGGCCATGTGGGAACTTCCCCAGAGGCTGCTTCACAGCTCTGCCCTCAACCGCTCAGCTCAACTGCCTGTGCCACTAGGGAGACCCTCCCCCCTGTTATTTTTGAGTCAGCAAAATATGTCTGCCACTGACCTTGATTAAAGGACTGACTATGCACAGGACAATCATAACCATGTGGCTAGAGAGGAGGAATCCTGTCTGCCCAGAAACAGGGCAACACCCCCAGGTCTCTGGCCACTGACTCAGGCCAGGGCTGAGTGCAGTTTCTCGGCTCCCCAACTGGCCTTCATCTGTACTTGGTCCCATGACTCTCCTCCCAAATCTGAGCCTGTGCCACAATCTTTCAAGACTTCAGACATTTGTCTAGAAGGTTTTCTACAATCAGATGGCCTTTCCTCCTGCAACTCCATCCATCTGGCCTTCAAGTTTGTTTGTTTGTTTGTTTTCTACTCTTTTTTTTTTATATATATATATATATATATATAAGCACAGGGTACAGTCAGAAGCGCGGGAGGGTGAGAGAATTCACCAGACCAAAGCAGGGAGCAGAGCAGGCAGAAGGACCGAAGTACACTGCTGAGGGGAGCAGCGGGTGGCAGAAGTCTGCATGCCATGTGGGACCCTTCTCTGGTGGCCGGGGAGCAGCCAGGGATCGAACCGGCGCTGCAGAGGCTGCAGGCAGCTTCGCAACCCAGCGCTCAACCGCTGCGCCACCGGGGAGGCCTTCAAGTTTGAGGTTCCTTCCACAGTGGGGTGGCCTCAGTTATGCCAAGATCGGATCATCAGCTCCCATCACACCCCACACTCTGAACAGCTTCCATAATTGTAATTAAATGGTTTTGAAGGTGGTAGTTGCTCTTCCACCATCTAGAATGTGAGCCAGGAGAGAGTGGGTGTGGGGGAGTAGGGGTTATGTCCCCTGGCACCTAGTTCAGATATGGCATGTAGTAGGTGCCCAATAAACATGCCCAAGACATTGAATGAATTCTTTTGTCCAGGTGAGGAAGGAGGCATGGTGCTGGCCTTCAAGCAAACAGACAAGTCACCTGGTATCTCTGCAAGATGTTCCAGAAGCTTCTATGAGGTGACAGGAATATTGTGCGCATGCTCATCTCTCTCTCTCTCTCACACACACACACACACACACACACACACACACAGAATGAGCTTTCCCCACCCCCACCTGCCCTGTTCCCAATTTCTCCACAGAATATTTTTTTCCCTCGGGCAGAAAATGGACCATTATTAAAACAACACGGAGACCCAGCGAGGAAAACCCATTTGCAGCGATTTATACCGCGTCACCACTGCTGCCGGCTACCGAGAGGAAATGGGGGGAGAAGCGCGGGGTTTAAGCACGGGGTGAAGAATCTCATTGCATCACAGAAGAACAGATGGGTGTGTGTTTTTCTCTCCTCTTACCCCGGCCCCATCCCATTCAGAATGCATGTCGGTGTGGGTTTGTTCTCCGTGGTGTGGTAGGGGCGACTCTGGGGAGAATGAGGCCACACCTGGCTGGGTCCCAGGAGAGGAAGGCAGCTTGGGATCCACCCAGGATCCCCTCTGCCACTGCCCACTTGGGCTGGAGGGTCTTCCTCCATTCATCCTCTTTTAATTTTTATACATTCTTATCACCACCTGGAATTATCCAGCCTCATTCATTGTCAACTTCCTTGAAGGCACTCTGAGTTTCCACTGGGGAAAACAGCAGTTGCTCAAATATCCTGACAAGGGCTAATCCACTGTGACCCCACACATCCTCCCCTGAAGTTGGTACTGATACATCGGCCCTCCCCACCAGGCAGAGAACTCACACAAAGAAAGGGGCTGTTTCATTTCTCTCTCTCTTTTATGGATGCCCAGACCTTCCACCCCACTAAACTAAGTCTGATCCACAGCCAGTTTTGGCGGGAGGGAGAACATGACTGCATCATTTTGCTGTTTAAATGCCATGAGTAATTTCTCTCCTTCAAAGTTAAAATCTGTTAGCATGGCTCCAGTGGATCTTCCCAATTCAGACACAAACACCCCACCCCCACCCCACACCTGTGCAGCCCCAGATCCCTTGCAGTCAGACCCACTCCCTGGCTCATTTGTGGTACCCTCCTCACCCAAGATGCCTTGGGCAGCAGCTTTTGGGAAAACCTAGATTCCCTTTCCCTCTGTGTACACCTCTTGTGCCTTGGGGCCAGACACCCATGGTCAAATGCAGCCCAGGATATGATCTGTTTGGCCCATGCAGGGTTTTTTAAAAATTGCAATGAGTTGACAGCTTTTAAATATCAGGCAAGTGTTGCATAAAAATCTGGATTCCTGGCTTCCTATCAAAAAACACAGCTTCTAAGAAGCTGAGGTCATGCTTCCTGCAGGGCCAGTGCTCATCTAGGACTGCCCCCACCCTAGGAGAGGGCCCAGCTTTCCCATTTCTCATGTGGTGGGTGGTTAAAGGGACTCTGAGCCAGACTGCCAAACTTAGAATCACTCAACCTTCCTGTTCTGGAATCTTCTGCTTGTCCTCCTGGAGGGATTCTTCTTGCTTCTGGTACTCAGGAAGCTGTGCTTTGTGGACCCCACCAATAGGCTCTGGGTACTACAGCTCAGGTTGTAGTCTATCAATGAAATTCCTGTGGAGGGAGAGGTGGGGGTATTTACTCCCTAGCTCTGCCCTCACCCTGTGGTCCCTGTAGGCCATCTATGTCTTTGCAGAGGCCGCAAGTCCTCACCACACAGCGGGCAGTGTCTCCAGGGTCTGACAATGGCTTCTCCCCTGTCCCCAGATGTAGGAGTGCTAAGGGCTCCCCATTTTTATTAATCCAAGTCTGGCATTTTTCCTGGGGTTCCCTACATCTGTCCACACTGTGTAAATTTGTCCCTTTGATGAACTCTGTTCAAATTACTTAATTTGAATGTAATTTGACTGATACTGCCCCTCCACCTGTTAATCCACTTGGAAAATGGAGGTAACTGTAGCTGCCTCTGGAGTTGATTTGAGGTTGAAAAGAGTTGACAGTGCACAAGGAAAGGGCTTAGCATGTGCTAATGAATGTTCACAATTACTATTACAGTTGACCTTCAAATAACAAGGAGATTAGGGGCACCCACCCCTGTGTAGTTGAAAATCTTCATGTAACTTCTGCCTCCTCAAAAACTTTATAGCGATCCCTTGGTTTCCTTGGGGGATTGGTTTCAGTAGCCCAGAAACTAAAAATCTCTGGATGCTTAAGAGCCTTATGTTGGAGCCTCCCTGGTGGTGCAAGGGGTTAAGCACAGCACTGTGAAGCTATCCATAGCCTCTGCCCTGTAAGTTCCAGTCCCAGCCGGCCAGGGAGCTACCCACATGGCGCAGCAGACCTCTCCTGTCTCTCCTGCTGCTCCCCTCAGCAGGGTATTTTCATCAGTCTGCTTGTTCTGTTCCCTGCTCTGTCTCTGGTGAATCCTCCTACCACAACCCCCCCCCCAACCCCCACACTTCTGGCCTCTACCCCAATTCTCATATGCATAAATAAATCTTTAAAAAAAAAAAAAGAGCCTTATGTCACCCCTCTGACATTGGTTAAATCTGTGAATGCAGAATCTGCGGCTATGGAGGGCCAGCCATATTTATTAAAAAACATCTGCAGGGGCCTCCCTGGTGGCGCAAGGGGCTAAGCGTCAGCACTATGAAGCTATCCACAGCTACTGCTGCATGAGTTCGAGTCCTGGCCAGGGAGGTGACCCACATGGCGTGGCAGACCTTTCCTGTCTTGCCCACTGCTCCCTTCAGCAGTGTATTTCAGTAGATCTACTTCCTCTGCTCCCCATTCTGTCTCTGGTGAATCCTCTTCCCTCCACCCCCCATACCTCTGGCCTACACCCCAGTTCTTGTATGCATAAATAAATGAATCTTAAAAAAAAATCTACATGTGATTAAAAAAACTAGCAACAACAAATGTTGGCGAGGGTGTGGAGAAAAAGGAACTCTTCTGCACTGTTGGTGGGAGTGCAAACTGGTCCAACCACTATGGAGAGCTGTGTGGAGATTTCTGGACCTACTAAACATAGAGCTTCCATATGATCCAGCAATTCCACTCCTAGGTATTTACCCAAAGGACACAGAAACATCAATTCCAAAGAGCACCTGCACCCCTATGTTTATAGCAGCACTGTTTACAATAGCTAAGCTTTGGAAACAACCCAAATGCCCAAAAGTAGATGACTGGATCAAGAAGATGTGGTACATATATACCATGGAATATTACTCAGCATTCAAAAAAGATAAACACATGCAATTTGCAGCAACATGGATGGCGCTGGAAGGGATCATGCTCAGCGAAATAAGCCAAAAAGAAAAAGAAAAATACCGGATGGTCTCACTCATAGCAGGAATCTAGAAAACTTAAATAAGGGACCAGGAAAATGAATATAAGAAAGTGAAAATCAAAATCAACAAAAAACTATGAACCAGAGACACTTTTTGGGGGGTGGGGGGCGGGAGGGGAAGGATTGGGGTCAGAATGGGGCGTTTGCAATTGTATGGGGGAATATAAAAATAAAATTTAAGATTAAAAAAAAAAAATCTACATGTGAGTGGATGCACACAAAGATGTTGTTCAAGGGTCAATTGTGGGCCTCCCTGGTGGCGCAGCAGTTGAGCGCTGGGTTGCAAAGCTGCCCACAGCCTCTGCAGCGCCGGTTCCATCCCCGGCTGCTCCCTGGCCACTGGAGGAGGGTCCCACATGGCGCCCAGACCTCTCCTGCAGCCCACTGCGCCCCTCAGCAGTATACTTTGTCCATCTGCCTGTTCTTCTCCCTGCTCTGTCTCTGGTGAATTCTCTCGCCCTCCCGTGCTTCTGACTGTACCCAGTGCTTGTATAAATAAATAAATAAATCTAAAAAAAAAAGAAAAGGGTCAATTGTATTCTTTGCCAGAATCTCACCACTCCTTACTGTCTCTTGATGCTCAAGCCCCCATGTGGTATTTCTGATGGTCTTCTCTTGGTCACTTGGCATGTTTATATTACCTGTTATTCCCTGTAGGTTGTAGCGTGATCTGGGCCCAGTCCCGTGTGTTCACCTCTGCTCTAGAGTTCCAAGCAGATATGCATTGTACTATGTATCTACCCCGGATGCTCTCCTCTGTCAACAGTGATTCCAGCACACCAGAATGATTCATCCATATGTTTGCTTTCCCCACTATACCACAAGCCATTTGAGGGGCTTCATAAATGTTTGTGGGATTGAATGTCAGGCTTGAATTAGTTTCTGAGGGCTGCTGTAACAAAGGTCCACACATGAGGTGGCTTAAAGCAAGGAATTTATATTCTCTCTGTTCTGGAGGCCAGAAATCAAGGTGTCAGCAGGATGGAGCTCTCCCAAAGGCTCCAGGGGAGGATCCTTCCTGCCTCTCCCAGCTTCTTTTCTTTTTTTTTTTTTTTTAAAGATTTATTTATTTATGCATACAAGAACTGAGGTACAGGCCAGAGGTGTGTGTGTAGGGTGGGGTGGGAAGATTCACCAGAGACAGAGTGGGAAATAGAACAGACAGACTGACTGAAATACACTGCTGAGGGGAGCAGGCAAGACAGGAGAGGTCTGCAGGGCCAGGTGGGTAGCTCCCTGGCTGGCTGGGGATCGAACTTGTGCTGCAGAGGCTGTGGATAGCTTCACAGTTCTGTGTTTAATCCCTTGCACCACCAGGGAGGCCCCTCTCCCAGCTTCTAATGCTTCTTGGCTTGTGGCTGCCTCACTCCAATCTCTGCCCATAGCCTCCTCCTCTACCTTCACCCTTCCACTCTAACAACATTTGTCATTGGCTTAAAGTCTCACCCTAATCCAGGATGAAGTCATCAAAAGATCATTACCCTTGTTACCTCTTCAAATATCCTGTTTCCAGACAAAGTCACATCCACAGGTTCTATATAGACATATCTTGTGAGGGGCCACTGTAAGCCCCACAGCTTCCTAGAACCTTAGCCTACTTGCTTTTTCTCTTCACTCATTTAATTTTTTGAAGCCAGTAAAGATAAGACCCTGAACACTCAGCGGGCTCCTGCCCCTGACCCACAGGAGCCAGGAGGCTGGTTCTCCGCAACATAGGTGCAAATGTCACCCCTAAGACCCTGTGTATCCAATGCAGGCCAAGCCCTCAAGAAGCCTGCTTCTCTGTGGGCTGCTGAAGGGCTGGGGTGAGTCTTTCTCCTTCCCCCAAGTCGGCAGAGAATGCCTTAGCAAGCCCCACTTTATCCTCCCTCCATGGCATCAGGCTGTGCTGAGTGGCTGTCATTTCTCTTCCACATGTCAGAACTCTGCATTCCCTTCAACAGCTCGCAGGCTGGCCTCTGACCTGCCCGCAGATTTCTTTCCAGGCCTGACAGGCTGGGTTAAGAGGGAGCGCTCCCCTGAGCCGAGACATACTTTTCTGCCTTTGCAGCCTCTGAGTTGCTTCCGCCCTGCCCGCCAATGTGTCTTGTTCAGTCTGTGCAGGTTAGCTCAGTTTTTAACAATTTCTTTTCAAGGCAAAATGTATCTCAGGTAAGATTAGCCATTTTAAAGTGTACAATCAGGTGCTTGGTGGTATATTCAAGTCTTGTGCAACTTTCACCAGTATCTAATTCTAAAATATACTCATGCTCCCAAAGGAAACCTCTGCATTACCTCCTCCCCCATCCAGGCCTCTAGCTACCACAGATCTGCTTTCTGTCTCAATGGATTTGGCTGTTCTGGACATTTCATATAAATGGAGTCATACAACATCTGGCCTTTTGTGTCTGGCTTCTCTCACTCAGCATCATGTTTTCCAGGGTTTCCATGTTACAGGGTTAGTAAGGTCTTTTCTGGTGAAGCACACACATCTTAAAAAAATACACCTCTTAAAAGACCACCACCTAGCCCAAGGCATAAAGAATTCATTTCTCAGAAGCTTCCTTTACAGTGAGTATCCTGCCCCCAAAGTATCACTTTCCCAATCGTTCTTAGCTGAGTTTGTTTAATTGTGCCCTACCCCAAGGGACATATTTTGTCACAATAAGGAGGGGAGGGTAGTGACATCTAGTGGGTAGAGACCAAGGATGCTGCTCAACATCCCCCAATGCACAGGACAGACCCCCACAATAATATCATTCAGCCCCAAATATCAATAATGGCACAGTTAGAAAACCTGCCCTCCGCTCCCCCCAGCCCCACCGCCCAGTCTGCACAGATTATTCTTACACTCAGTCCCTGAATGTTATAGGAATAGAATCACATGGCATGCCCTATCTGTGTCCTGCACTTTTGTTCAACATTGTCTCCCTCTCAGATCCATCTATGTGATGCCTGCTTTCATAGCTTGTTCTTTTTCATGGCTGCATCCTATTCCATTGTATGAATAAAAACCCATTTTATTTTCTCTTTGCCAGTTGATGGCCATTTGCTGGGTGTCTAGCATCTGGTGATGGTGGATGAAGCTGCTATGAGCATGAGTGTATGTGACTTTGGGTGGGCATACGCTCCCTTTCCCACCAGGAATAAACCCAAGACTGGAATGGCCGGGTGAAAGCAATTTAACAGATCAGTGTGTGATAGTTTAAAGCTCAGGAAATTTTGCACAAAAACCCTGAATTCACCATTTTGGCAACTCAGTGCCAGACTTCCCACAGGGTAGCACTCAGTTGGAGCTTGTAATAGCAAGCAGCTGGCCATTGGCTTAAAAGCAGGTGTGTCTACAGCTGCTTGTTGCCCCCATGTCTGCACTTTTGTTCCCTGGTCAGTATTTGACTACATGGCCCCTGTAGGGTTCATGATGGTCGGAATCACCTTCTTCCTTCCTGCAGCCATAACCTCCACGGCCTCCCCTCCTTCTCAACCCTGATCCCAATTCCACTCCATTTTGCAAAGCTGGAAGCCCCTTTAGATGTGGCAGCTACTTTCAAGAGCTTCACACCCCACCCCTCCCTACCATCCTGCTGCAGCCTGGACTTTGCTGGCTTTTATTTTGGCAACATCCTCGGAATCTCCTCCTTTCCTGGATCATCAGGGCCTTCTACTTTCAGGGAGTTCTCTGCTTACAAGTCACTTCCACAGGGCAGCCTTCTCTGAACCCCATGCTGAGGAGAGCTTCCCAATCATTGTACTGCAGGTGGGGCCTGCCTTCCACCCCTGCACCCTTGCATAGGTGAGTCGTTGCCAGCTCCCAGCCAGGACTACATCTGTCTAATTCATTGTCATATGCCCAACGCCCAGCTCAATGAATAGTAAATGGAGCCCATGGAGCTAGGGATGTGAAGAAGAAAGGAGGAGAGCCCTCACGACAGGTTGAATAAATCCCTTTCCTATTGGTTGGCTCAATAAGTCAGGACCTGAGAAACTAACCTAACTGCTGGGCCCAGTCAACACTGGAAAGCACAGGGCCTCTTCCATGGGGTCCTTAACAGCTCACAGACCAGGCCCAGCTACCCATGCACTGTCCCCCAGTCTAGTCCCCTTTCTCTCCAAAACTCTCCCTATCTCATCAGCTCCCCTGTCTTCCCTCCCCCACCTTTGCTCTATACCTGGGTGGCTTCATCTCAATT